TAAAACCCAGGTTGTTTGTTTGTGTGTGTTCATTTATATATGGGATCGGATTTCCTACATTTTTCAACTGATTTCAACAAAACTTCACTTTTTTTTTGGCTGGTAGTGTTTCTTATTGTCTTGCACACTTTTTTTTCTTTATTTTTACATTCAGAATGCTTTAAAATTCCATTTACAAGACAATTGTTTATAATAAAATTCTATTCAATTGGTAGACTCATAACGGTTGAAAACAATGTTTTTGTTTGAGTTTGGGTTTGACCAATTTCTAAAATAAAAATAAAAAAACGAATTAAGACATGCGTGTCTGTCAATCTTAAACAATAATTTTTGTCAATTTTATTTTTCAGTCTATGATGGTCGATACTTGATCTATCTCTTACTGTTACAGCCCCGGGCAACGCCGGGCTCTACTGCTAGTGTTAAAATATATTAATTTGACATTCTTAGTTAAGTCTTGATTATTTCCATTTGCATATATCTTAAGAATTTGTTCTCTTTCTTCCTTTATATTCATTTATCAGTATCAACATTTTATTTTGTTTGTTCCTCCCATTTTTATTGATTACATTGACAAGTTGAACACATTCTTAATGATCTTTCTTTTTGAATTGATTAAATGCTTGATAATATTGAAATATATTAGCAAAAGAATAAGTTTAGCCGAGCTGAATTTCTGTGGCTGCAGTAATCTTTAGGGAAATCATAAATCATATTAGTGTCAAATTACAACCGACTCCCTTTGATTGCTCTTACTAACAGGAATAAATCTAATTTTTCATTCTAATTATCAATATCGGTTAATTGATTTTATTAAGTTAACAACATATGCTATGTTCACTGGATGAGAAATGCAATAGAGAATGTATTTTGAAATTTCATGTTGTCATACATTAGACATTAATAATTTTGGCTTTTGGAAGCAGACTGTTCTTTTACCAGAATTCTGATGCTGGCAGAGAAAGATCTTTTACATCTTTCTTTTAACCCTAGAACACTAACCATGGGTATCTAGTACCCAGTGCAAATTTTCCTATTTTTAATTACAATTTTCAGTACCTGATTTTCTTACCTAAATAATGTTTTTCAGTTCCTATTAATGTTAAATCAAAGTACAAAGTTTGAAGTGCCTGCATATAAAATATTTCAAATATAGATTTATATTTAATATTTTTTTTGATATTTTCAAAATCAGGTATGATATACCCATGGTTAGTAGTAGTGTAACTTTAATTGATGGTTAGTGTTCTCGGGCTAATGATGTCATTCACAAAAAAATTTTCATTTTTATCCATTAACTTATATGAGGTGATGCAAAAAAAAAAACCGAAACAAAATGGTGCTTGATTAACCCATTACCTGCCATGATTACCTGTTAAATTTGGGATCTGTTAAAATTAAATTCACTACATGTTATTCCTTCTATTTACATTGGATTGCTTACATACCTTACATTTGCAGAGGTATATTTTACAACAATTAGCCTTTAAAGTTTTTATTATCAGCCATAAGAAGACACTTTCTGTCGTAATTTTACATTTCATGAGTAGAAAAATAATGACTATTGTGAAAAGTATTTTTTTATTATTTCTAATGAATATTTTTTTTGAAGTTTTATACACATATATATTTGATGTTCTAGTTTCTATAAATATGACAATGGTAACTACTGAAATTAAATATAAGGAATAAATAAACTCCTAAAACACCTGTCTGGGCCAAAAATGCACATTAAAAAAATTTGGCAGTTAATGGCTTAATAAAAATTTTATTTGTTGAAATATGTTATGTATTCCCACTTTCCTCTTGTAATTGATACTCTTTAAGTGTTTTTAATCTCCATGACTAGAAACATGCTTCAGAATCTTCCTTTTAGTCTTTAGCATGCTTATTTTTTTTATTTTTATTTTTTTCACATGTTCTAAAAATCTTTATTTTGACGACACTTTTCAAATTGTTGAAGAGAGAGAAATTTTTATGGTATCGGATCTAACACCATGAAAATCGTCTTCCAGAGGTAATCTTCCCAAACCTCACTTTCCAGCCTTGACAGTCCCAAATTATTTATTTGGCTTTGTGGGGGATGACACATTTTCCAACCCATTTCCAGCAAATACAACATCACATGCCTGTCACTATTTTATCACTATTTCCATGACAAATATTCAGATGAGCTTCATTCATTAGTTTTTACCTATTCAGAAATTTGTAACTGTGACTTTCCTAGTCAGTATCTATCTCTATGGTGCTGCCACCTTAACAACAGGGAACACAGGTTCTCTCCCAGTCCTACAGAATCCTTCCTCACTGACTCCAGCGATGCCTGGCCCTTCTGGTCCTGCTTAAATTGCAAAACGGAAAAGTTGTTGGTCACTATAGAGCAAACCTTCAGAAATGGGGATATACCACCAATGATGATCTCAACTGCCAATCCAGGCAATTTCAAAATATGGGGTAAACTAGAAGATGCTCCAATCTTGAAGATTAATGCATACATAAGACCTTGAAACCCTAACACCCCAGGCAAGGGTCTGTGTGCAACAAGTCAAACTACCCTCACTTTCCCTGTATCCCAATTGTAAGTCGAAAGTTCCACACAACTTTTCCCAACAACCACTGCTTTGTGGAACACGCTCCCACGTGGATGCTTCTTTGAACGCTACAATCTTAAGCTCTTCAAGAGTCAATTGTTACCTATACGCCATATCCTCATAATCTTCACTCCCTAATTTTATGTTCAAATCACACATCCTCTATCTTGAGTGACTCTTGAGCCTTGTATTGAGTGAACTAATGATGAAAGAAACTATTGTAAGGTGAATTTCACTGTTATGTTAATAACCCTTTTTGACTTGATTCTGATCCAAAATTTTTGGCATTATGCATGAATGCATACTATATATCAGTCAATAACATTTTTCTTATTATTGTCTCCCCCACCCCTGGAATCACTATCAGATAATGGTTTATCTTTTACTTCTTGATATCTGTGATTTTCTCTGTTATCTCACTATCTAACTCCTGGCCCCTAATTCCCAAGTATCCCAAGAATAGATATCTAGTTGTTTCAGTGAAGTTGGAAGCAAGTGAAAGGTTCTTCAAGCGTGTGTCTGTTTGTATGTATTTTCTGTTATCCTTTAGAAGTTCTTAAATTAGATTTATTCATACTTTTGTGATGATTCTTATCAGTATTTTACAGAATTATCTGCAGGCATCTAGTAATATATTAACTTAATTATGAAAGGGAAAATATATAATGTCTATGTATATACACCCCACATGGACTTAATACTTGCATCTCTCTCTCTCACTCACACACACTCTCGCTCTTGATAAAATAATTTAATCAGTCAAGCACTGTGGGGAGTAAGAATGGAATTTGTAAACGGTCATTATTACTGATGATAATGCAAGACTCTCCTAGCGATTGAGTTCTCTGAGTGACTGGTGTGTTTATGAAAAAATAAATACACAAAAATTCAGCTTTCTCTCTGCCGGGCATCAATGGCCTAGGGGTAAGAATCTTCAACTAATGCCAAATCAGTTGGGTTTCAGTCCCAGCTTAAAGTGATCTCTGTGGATGATGAGATATATATGCATATTCTCTAATAGAGAAGAAAACAGATTTACTCTGAATGAACTGATTTAAAATGTAACTGGCACTAACAGCTCGTGTGTGTATATGTATGTATGTATGTATGTAAGAAAAAAAAACATTCCGATCCCTGATTGTTGATTCTGATAAGGTAATTTGATTTATTGCCTCTCTTTTCCCTATAAGATCCCAATGCATTTCCTTACACAGTTTATCTTTCATTATGACCTGAAGATGCCAAACTTAGCATATGTAGTTGTTAGCCAGCAAAACACTTCATTAGTAACTTTTCCACTTTGTCCCATTATCTTCGCTTTTGTTTCAGATACTATTACACATACTACTAACACACACACATACACACAATGTATTCCCTGTAATTGGTGACTATCTACAACTAAAAGTTTAATGTGTTCTCATGCAATTGTCTGACGGTCAGCAACGGTCATTTTAGAAAATGGGCACTTCATACCCCCTTGGCAAGTCCAAGATATTACAGGGGTAGTCCATCGTTAAAGAATGGTAAAATCACAAAAAAAAAAAAAAGATCTGAAAAGTTAGGTGTACTGAGAAAGTGCTTGGTATCATGGTGAACAGTAGGACCTCAGCAAAGGAATATACTGCCCTCAAAGTTCCCCATGGTAGAGCATGTAACAAAAAAAATAAGCAACTATTACTATGTATGTATGTATGTATGTGTGTATATATATATATATATATATATATATACTGTTTAATGATAATTAAAAAAATGCTTGGTAAAATAACAGTTAAATTTTATACTCATGAATGTTGATTTTTGATTGCATGCTAGCACAATCATCCATGGCTTCTGAATAGTGCTTTCTACCAAATTTCATTCACAAGGCTTGTGTGTGTATATATACACACACACTAGCATGCAATCACAAATCAACATTCATGAGTATAAAATTTAACTGTTATTTTACACCAAGCATTTTTTTTAATTATCAGTAGCATTCACTGTATGCTATTTGATTTATTTATTTATATATATATATATATATATATATATATATGATGTGATGTAGCAATGGTTATCAATACAAATGGAATCAGCAACTATATACAAATTCTGGCTTGTATTTGCTTAATACAAATTTCTTATTTGTATTAAGTTAATTCAAGTCATTTCCTGCTTTCAATATCCGCACAAAATAAAATAGGATAAGTTTGTATGATTATCGGCACAGAGTTGTTGTATCATTCATATTTGAGCCAAGTCTCATTGTGTTCATTTAGCTCTGTTTTCTTTGAAAAATGCATGGATCAATATCAAAACACTGATTTTGATTTTTAAATCATAATACGCCTCTTCTAAAGCTAATTGTCAATTTTTTATTTATTGCATTTCATGATTTTTTTTTTTTCTTCTAGTCCCAAGGCCGATGTGAAATCATGTTAACTTTGGAGAAGGTTGTGGCTGGATTGGGGTCTGCTGGTTCCTCTTGCCACAAGGACATTTATAAAGCTGCCCGCCAAGCAATGACTGACAGATCCATGGCTGTACGTTGTGCTGCTGCCAAGGTATGTAATTCAAACTTATTAACTTGATATAAATGACACCTCTTCATAAATATTTATTGAATTCTGATTCATTTACTTCACTGAGGAATGAGATCTTTCCTGATTTTGATTGTGAAATCTGTTCAGAAAGTTAAGAAAGCAGAGAGGGGGGGAACTTGTTGCACATGCATAAACTCTCCCCCATGTGGTTACTCAGTTTGCAAATAAGATGCCATTAAGTATGCTTGTGTACTATATAACTATCACATTCACATTTTGTGCAGATTTTTTGGCAAGACCTTGTCTTATGCAGATCTGTAAGCCTCTTTATAGTCCAGGTTTGGCTCCCTTTGATTTCTGGATTTTTCCCAAAATTAAACTTGCCAGAGAAAAGTAGAATATTTCAGACTGTGGATGAGATTTTATCTGACAAGGCAGTGAGTGATCCTGAAATAACTTTTGTCAAATGAAAAAAACTTCTGGGGTAAGGGAGAGTATTTTGAAGGGGACTGAGGCACTATTATTCCTAGGGAGGTTAGATTTTCATTAACATTAAAAGGTGGAATACTTTTCATATGTGTGTGTATATATATATATATATATATATATATATATATCATTTAAATCCTTAAAAAAATATAGTTTTTCTTTTTTAAGAATCTTTAACAAATTTTTTGGTTACAAGAATTTTAAAAAATCCTTCTTGGTTTGACAGGCTGTTATGTTATTTTCGTATGGTGTTAATTCTCACTTTTTTTCATTCTTACCCTTGTTTTTTAAAATCTAAATTAAATATGTTTGAAAAATAGTCATCTCCTTGTACTGTTCCAGAAAGTACCTGACTCTTTCTGACACATTTTCTCTTTATAAGATTCAGATCAAACCTAAAAACCTATTGGAATATTGCTACTATATCTGGCCTGGAGCTGCACAATCTTCTTTCCAATCTTTACTTTTTAATCAAGTCACCCCAAACAGGGAAATAATATCACTAAAACAGAAGGGGTTATAGGAATGAAAGAGAATTAAAAGATTTTAGAAGGAATAGGAAACCCAATCATAAACAGGAAACCAGGGATAAACCTCTACTCCTGTCCAATAACCTGTATTTCTTAAACTTGAGGTACCTATAGATATTTTAACTGTTGTCTTATACAATTGCTTATGGCTAGATAGCATTGAAGCATTGGTTCTCACTCAGTCACTGAAGTTAAGCAACATTGAGCTTGGTAAGTACTCAAATTGGTGACCACTAGAATACCAAGTGCTGTAAGCTACTTGACAGGTATAGCAAGCTGGTGATAGATATAATCTCACAACTTATACTAATAGAAGACCTTGATATGTGGAGTACTTTTTGACTGACAGGTCACAAGACCTACTTGGGTGAGTGTATCTGATACAGTTCCTCAGAGATTTTATTAGGTAATATTACTGGTTGAACAAGATCAGTAAGTTTCAAATATAGTAGGAAATATAACAAGCAGCAGCAGCAATTATCAGCAGTCAGGTAAGGTTTAAGGCTCCAAGTTCTCACCTCAGGATTGTCACAATAGAAAAACAGCCCAGTGAATTAAAACATTTGTTTGTAAAATTGGTGATCTAGTAATTGGGGATTCAATCTTTCGGTATTCAATCAAAACGGAGCGAGCAATAGTTTGAGCTGTACTAAATAAGAACAAGATGAGATATCCTGAAAGAGGGTCAGCAAAATGAGAACAATCTATCTCCATGGATTAAACAATGGGCTCCCTTCAAAAATTCATGATTACTGCTATATATATATATATATATATATATATATATATATATTCTTTATAGTACTGCTTAGTTATTACTTACTCTGTTTTCATTGAATTTATCTGTACCATCCAATCCAGGAATTGAACACAATTATAATGCTACCAAATTCACAAACTAATGTTTTAATCCAGTAGGCTATTGTACCCTGGGACAATAGACATGGACAGTGGAACAAAGACTATCTATCTCCATAGATTAAATAAAGGTTTTGATTCAAAATTCCCTAAAAGTTACTGGGATCAACAGACAATTGTGGGCCCAATAGTTTGAAACATTGTGATAACAACAAAGATGAGGACAATAGTCTGCATGTAAATAATGTAGAATCCTCCTCCCAGAAATATAGTCAGAAATTGGCAGGAAGTATTAAAACAAAATAAAGAAAACAAAAAAAAAAAAAAATGGTAGTTGTTTGAAAATTGGCAATCAACAGAAGAGGAAAGCAAAGTCATTTCACATGTCACTTGAGACAGGAGGCAATGATTTTTGTTCTCATTTCTGTAATTAATTGTAGCAATTGTGAATTTTTACTGGGCCTGGTTTCTAGACTAATACCTAAAACTGCCCTGTTACAAGTGCAAATTGACTGCAAACTGTCCCAGCCTGAGTTTGAAATCTCTTTGCTGATTTTGTTCTTCATGTTTTTAACCATCAAGTCATCCTCACCTTCGAGCTGACAATGAAAGGAAGCCATTTTTCTTAGTCAAAACAATTAACATTTATATAATTAACATTGTCCACTCTGACCATTCTGAGTGTTGTTTTTTTGCAGCCTTGCTTTTACTGCTATATTTACTCAATTGGTCAAATATTTTTACTATTTTGGCATTCTTTTAGTCAATTTGTAGTATATGTCATGACATTAGACAAGGGAAATAGATGTAAATAAAATCTATTGGAGTAGGCACTTAATTCTATAAGCAACAAGTGGTATAAATTATGGCAGACCAGCCTGAGTTGTTTGTCAAAATGTTTTTTTTTTTTTTCATAGCTATTGTTAGTAATTTCAGTTAATAATATTTATTTTTGGCATTTAGATAAATTTGGTTGGATAAAATAAATGAAGAAAAGTAAATTGCAGTAAAACAGGTTTGTTTTGAATTTATTAGTCAGTTTAACTAGCATAGTGCCTCCCAAAAATGATAGAATTATTTTATATATGGCTTATTACTTTTGTATTGTATCTGAATATCTGTACTCTGCTTAGGACCAAAGTCTAGCTCTGCCTATGATCAGTGCAGTAGCTGTGCACTTGCTATATTTTCTGCCAATAATCAGTGTAGTATTTGTGTTCTTTTGAAAAATCTTTTTTACAGACATATGCAAATGCACACACATACATGAAGATAACCAAAACAAACCAAGCTATTGGTAAAGTATCAAAGAACAATCCTACCAACAACAAGTCTGCCAAAGGAAAAAGCATGAAAAGGAAAAAGAAAGACCAAGAAAAAAACAAATGAAGGGAAACACAAAAGGAAAAAAGACAGCTACCTACACAAAAACTAGGAAGGTGAAGTAGTGAATACCTCTAGAAATTTAGACATAGCAGTAATATATATATATATATATATATATATATGTGTGCTTGCACCTAAGTCATTCTAAAAGGTGAATAATATAAGAATCAAATCATTAGAGTGAGGAGCAAAAGATAATGAGGAAGTATTAAAGACAGGTACGGAAACAAAGTTGAGGCAGAGAAATGGATGAGGGGGGGAAAAATAAGAGGCAGGTGTAGAAATCAAACTCTTCTTCAACAATTCTTTTGGTTGAGCATCCACATTTTGTTGTTTCTATCCTCAAGTGTATTCTGCACCCAGTAACCTTCATGGTATCTTGAATGGAGTTGTTAAATCAAGAAGGACATGGCAGTAATAAGCCTATGGTTGAAATAAAGGATTCTATTACAAATTCTGTTTGTTACGGTAAGGGTTTACATAAGTGTTACGGGACCTTACCCATAATAACATAATGGACTATTCTATATGTAATAAATACTGCACCTCAAGAGGAAGCAGGGAGTACAGTCTGAAGTCTGGAGTGAAGTCCGTGAGGAGTCAGTCGCGTTCAGACAATTACTACTAAACCTGATTGTTCGTACTAACACTTTTTACTTCTCTGTATATATTCCTGTTTGTAATTCCATGTTATTCCATATCCATGTTCGGGTTCTTCTTTATTGGTTCTACCTTGGACCATTACCTTTGGACCATAACAATAAGTATAACACATGATAAAAACAACAAAGTTATGAGACTGCTAGTCAGAAAGTGTTGTATATCCCAGTGATTTCCATATGGGAAAACACTTCATGCCCAGAAGATGAATTTTAGTCAGAAGAGAACTTTGTGAATGAATCAAATGAAAGTTTCCTGATCCGTTTGAAATAGAGATTTCATTTGATTGTAATTAATAAAGCAATTTGGTTTCATAAACTATTTCTGCAATTATTTCTATAAATTTTAATTGACAAAAAAGATTTGTAAAATAGACAGTTCTTAGTTATACATTGCATTTTTGCTTCACTCTGGCTTGAGAAATTATGTGAGAATTCATTTCATGACTCTCTCTCTCGCTATATATATATATATATAATTTTATAGGTCAAAAGTTTGAGGCCACCCTCTAGTGGATTTCAAAGAATGACCTAAAAATTAAAGGTTACATACTTTGTCAAAATTTACTGGAACAGTAAAAGCGGAGATTTCCACATATTATTAAAAATAATTTTTTCTTTTGTTTTTCAATGTTAAATATTCTCGATATTAGACATTTTCTGTGTTAGTAATCCGAATTTCTTTCTTGAATTGGCAATGAAGAGTTCTGCGCGAAGGGTCATAAAACAGTCAAGGTTGGTCCAAGCGAGATGATGAATTGCTTATTGGCATTTTATCTTTTAATGTTTCACTGACCCCTATGTGTTCTTGGATCTGTTTCCATTTTGTGTGTTTCTGTCAGCATGCGTGTATATATGCGTGCGTATATTCCCCCTCCATACATATATTGTCTTACTACGAGGAATCAGTAAACTCATTTGTACATATACACGCATACACACACATTTACCTGAAGACGGCCATGAGACCAGAAACATGTGTAGTACAATTATGTAAAACAAAGTATAATATTTTTTCTAAATAAATCCACATTACAACCAAAAATGTTTACGGCATCTCTCTTCTCTTCTTTTTAATATATATATATATATATATATATATATATGTATGTATGTATGTATGTATGTATGTAACAGGTTGTCAACCAAGTCATTAACACTTGACCAGCACAGCTCAGTACTTCAACTAGTATGAATATAAATACAGTTCATATTTTCATATAATAACCCAGAACCATCTATAAAGTTCCGCACAGCGGTTCTAAGATGGTAGGTACTTGGTACCAAAAGAAGTATTTTATACAGTAGAAGAATCTGATGTTGAAAGTTTTAAGATCTATTTTAATGAGGATTTAATTTTTATTTGATTGCAGCTCATAAAGCAATTTGGTTTCATGAATTGTTTCAATAATTACTACTGCAAAAATATGAGGATGAAGAAAAAATTACTAGATGGTAATCCAAAAGCCAGTAAGAAGTATTAAGGAATCCTGAGATCTCAAGGGGAGGAATGTAACCTTAAATATGTGTAACAAAAGCATCCATAATAAAATATTTTTTACTGATGTTGCACCTGCCTATGAAAGCATAAACAAGGTGATTATCAAATGTTCTCTTTGAAGACATGTCATCCTATAAAAAGCAAATTAAAAGTGTTTGGCAATATATTTAATGAGAATGCTTAATTGATCTGATAAAATGAGTTCCAATGTTGATGTTAATTAGTGCAGGAGTCTATTTTCTTTTTCTTTTGCATTGCTTCAGTGAAACCAATATTATTATGGAGAATGTTTTTTTTGTTTAATCATTACTGATAAAAAATGATTTGGCAGAAAAATATTGGACATACAAGATTACTTGCTTAATGCATTATTTCTAACCTTCATTCTATCGAATTAAATTTTTGGATATCTATTTTATCTGTTAGTTTGAAAGAGATGATCTGGTTGTTTAAATAATTTACATGCCAGGGCCATCTGCAAAGTGTAAGTGTTTGTCATTCCTTGTACCACTCCAGAAAGTACCTGACTCCTCCTACTATGTTCTGTCTTTACAAGAGTCAGTCCAGACTAAAAATAGAGTATCTGGGCTGGTGTTGCTCAATCTTTATATTCCAGCCTCAACAATTCAAAAGCATCTAAATGGCCTTGTGGGTGATGAATTATTTTCCACCCTACTGCTCCTTTCCCCATAAGCAAAATGTCACAAGCCTCTTGCTATTTCCATGGGAAATGTTCTGATGAGCTACATTCCTTAGTTTAATCCATTTAGATCTTTACAATAAAGATCTGCCATGCCATGTACATAGGGTTGAATCAGCCTCATTCCCTTCCTATTCTGTTGGTCAGAAAGAAGTTCCATTCAAACGGCTTCTTCCTAAGAAACACTACTTTTGAAACAAACTTCGAGAGGATGCTTTCATGATTCCTGCAATTGTAACTTTAAGTCTAGAGCCAACCATTACCTACCTTCAACAACCTCATTCAGGAACCCTCTACCTTGAGTGTTTCTTGTGCCCTGTATTGGGATAAAAACAACATTAAAAAAAATTCCCATGATATGTTAAAATAAAATTTTAAAAAAAGCATCTGTAAGTTTCTATTTTGTGCAGGACATAAATTTTTTATCTCAAAATCATTACTATTTGAAATATAAAAAGTAAATGTTTTGAATTACAAGGGTTGTTCAGAAAGTATTTAACTATTTTGAGTATATCAAGAATTGATTAATGGTCTTGATGTAACTTGTGGCGAAGTTACACCAAGGCCATGCTACCAGTCGAGGGGGGACATTACTCTCCCATTGGGTTACTCAGTCAGCGGTTAGATGCCACTAATTGAGTTTGTGCATGCTGTGACCATTCCATTCATCATGACAGTGTGTTTGACATCCCAATAGGAGTTCTTTGTAGGGGTCTAAGATGCCATTACACTAGGTTGGCTAATTTTACATTAATATTAAATGATTGAATTCCTTCTGGACAGACCTGTTGCAGAGGCAGAAATGGGTAACCTGAAAGACAGAACCTTGTAGAACTGTTGTAGAAGTTAATTCTTTCTCAGCAAATACAAATTCAAGTAAAAAGAATACATTGAGTATGGGTAAATAAATGTATAATTTATTTACATATGTACCAAAATTTCTATCTTTTGCTGTTGCTAAGACGAGAGAGAGAGTATTGTGAAATTAGAAGTGAAATAGACATTGGTGATTGTTGTCAGGTGGTATTTCTTTCTCAGTACATTGATGTTGACATGAATGCTGGTTTATGTTGTCTCCCTCTCAGTTTCACACTGTTGATATCGAAGCCAGTTTGTTTTTGTGTTTGTCTGAATTAAAGAATATATAGCTATAAATTGGCTCCAAATTAAAGATTTGTTTTTATGGAGCAGTAGTGGCTCTGACTGGTCAAAAAATTGTTTGTTTTATTTTGGTTAAAGCAAATGTATGCATGGAGCCTATGTGCAGAAAACATATTTATACTGTCTGCTCTGGGTTGTTGAGTGATCAACATTTAGTTTGTGTAGAAACCGGTAAGCGGCATGACAAACTTCATATGTAACAATTTATATAAGAGTCATCGAACCATAAAATGTCTGGTTATTACTTTTGTAGTTTTAATGAACTTCAATCTTCTCCTTTCAGTGTATGATTCAGTTAGTGAATGAAGCTCCCTTCATGTACACCAGTGAACTTGAAACTGTTGCCTCCTTGTGTTTCCGAGCACTGGACGGCTCCAACTATGATGTACGGTGTGTTGTGGCTGTACTGCTAGGAAATCTTATGGCAACAGCACAATCCCCTAAAGCTGCTTCTTCTGGTAAGTAAATCATTTGGGGATTGAATCACTGATAAATTCTTATTGTATTTTTACATGTAAAACAAATCAGTAAAGTATTTTATTCTTTCTGGTTTTGTGCAACCTTATTTCTCTTTCTCTCTCTTTCTCATCTTCCCTTCAAAACCTTCATCTATTGTTATTATTTTGGTCTTTGCTTCTCTCTCTTCTCTCTCCATCCATTTGTTGTCTCTATTCTTCTCCATCTTTCTTTTCCACCTATCACCTCTCCCTCTTTTTTTTTTTTTTTTTTTGATGAATCCTTCTGCCTCTCTTTCTTTTATCGTAATTTCTTTGTCTTTTCTATTTTTATACTATTATGCTAACTTCTTGTGTCCTTATAAAAGATAAGAATTATACAGAAGAAATTACTGAAATTGACATTTTTAAGTGCAATAGGAATTTTTCTTGATGTTATTGAATAAAAAAAACACTCTTACCAAAGTTTGCTACCTTTTCATCATTAAAGAATTTAAGTGCAAGCAAAATTTACTGTAAATATTCTTGATACTATTTAACAATATTTGAACACTTGTTTGTTTTATTCAATTCCAATTTTGACATGCCTTCCTTTCTATTTTATGATATTTGTAACATGTGCAGCTAATTTAATAGGAGTATAAATATATTTGTATAAAATGCAAGCAAATGTTCATAGTGCTTACATTTTAAATACACAGAACTTTTTATGATAGCTGGAAACTTTTGCACACACCTCTTATGGTTTGTGCTAAATCTGCCAAATATTTTATTATTCACTAATATCAGAACCATAGACACTTGTAATCTGACCCAAACCAAAGCCAGAATGATAAAAGCATGACTATAATGTACCAGATAAGTCATACATGTCTTTTTTTGTTTTCATAAATGCCATCTCCTTTCAGAATGTAGATTGTCATGGCTCTCCACAGATTCTTTTTCTTTATTATCTGTGAATTAACATGACTATTTTGGAAAGGTAATGGAGTGGTTTTGCATTTGCTCTCCATTCAGTTTTCCTTCTCCTAGACAGGTTGCCACCTTATGCAAGAGAGCTCAGTCTACTCTGCTATTTAACTCATAGCTGGAGGTAAAAGAAATAGATTTATGCCTTTCCCAAAGACATTAGTGCAAAAATGAACATGTTTTTGCACCTTTTTATAAGTCTAGCATTTGTTCATATATCAAATATTGTTACCAAATCTGGTTTGGTGCTTCTGCTATACATATTAAGATTAACAAAATTTAAAGAATCTGCAATGTTATCAGTCCTGACCTGGCATCTCAGCTTAAGTTATTTTCCCACTAACATATCATAGCTTCCCTTTTCTATAAATATTTTCATGGCAGTTGTTCTGATAAGCTTTTATCTTTGGTACTTTGGACTTCATGAATTTAAGTGAAATATAAGATTGGCAGCTAGGTTTTATCTTTTTAATGTTGAAATTGCCAGATGTAACCATAAGTTTTATTCCAATGTTACTTTTGCACTTTTTGCCTATGGAATGCTCTTCCAGCTTCTTATTTTCCTGCCAATTACAATGCAACATTTTTTATGCAAAAACCAATTGCCGTCTGTTTCCTGATCTTTCAATGTCTTCTCAGATCCTTTCACTCTCAGTAATCCCCCACGTCTTAGTGGCTTTATAACCTTGCTTGGAGTGAAATAATTTAAAAAAAAAAAAAAAGAAAGACTATATCTGAATTTGAACTTGGCTAGCTGATTTTATTTTTCATGCTGATAACATTTTCACTACCCATACATCCACATTTTGTTTACATTCTTATAGAATATACAGTGCTTGTGTGATTTGATAATGTAACTGAAACATTCCTGTTTGCTGTACATCAGTAAACATGAATGACAGATGATAATTAATTATTCATTGATAGTTGGCAGTACGAGAAAAAAAAAACCAAACAAACAAAACCCTAATGGCATATGCAATATGTTATCAAGAGATCAATATTCAATATGGATTCTTTCCAAACAGTTTCTTTACCTTTTATCCATTTGTTTTTGAAAGTTTATTTTATGCCTTTACAAAAAACTTACAGTAGTACATTTTCCCCCACCCCAAACACTACTGGAAATGTGGTAATGTAAAGAAGAAATTACCATTAATTTATAGTAGAAAACACGGCACTACTACACTTTTGACATCCCCAAAGTAAAACATAACCAGATAAATTTATAAAATGAAAAGAAACTTATTTTTAAAACAGTTTTTTTATTTTTATTTTTTTTAAAGTTTAACTTCATAAAATTAATTTAAAATAACAATTGAACTGTTGCAATTATTAATCGCTATCTATAAAAGGCAGGATGTGTGTGTGTGTGTGTGTGTGTGTATGTGTGTGTAAAATAAATGCATGGCTGCAATTTTTGACGGATTTGCACCAAACTTTACATGCACATACTCCAAGTTAGTGGGAAGGCCAAGACCGACTTTGCATTTCCCAACTCCCTTCTACAGCAGTTTTCATGTAGTTTGCGGCCATTTTCTACTGGCCAGAGTTAGAGCCTATAGCTGGCTGCCATGAATAGGCAGGCAGATTCTATTGGCCAGCGTGACAGCCAACAGCTGACTGACACGAATGTTAACTAGCATGCAAAAAAAATCGATAGCTGCATTCGTCTCAAGTGGGAAAAATTTAAATCTGCATGGCACTTTACTCCAATTGGCTCATTCACTTGCTTAAACTCAATGTTGATTCTGATTCCGCAGAACTGGATTGGGTGTGAAAAAGTATTTGTTAACATTCTTTTTTCATCCGGTTTTTCCAGTTACGAGTCCTTTTTTAAAGCTGATTGTTTTGTGTTCATTTTGTTTAGTTCTTTTTTTGTAACAGATTTAATGTTTAGTATAGAGCTTAGAAAAAATTCGCAGTGTGAGATAGGCAAGAAGTAAGGCATGTAGAAACATCAGCACAGCAAAGGGCACTCCTTTAAAGGCAAGGAAGGGCAAAAATATTTGAAGTCAAGTGATAGCGATTGCTGTATGAGTCGTACGATTTTTGAATCATGTACAGTCTATGCTGCTAGTATTTTCATAAACTGTGCCTCATACTCTGTAACCCTCTACCTTGAGTGGCTCTTGGGACATGTACAGAGTGAACATCATTGTAAAAATATATAAAGGAATAAATGATTTAAATAAACCACTATTTTTGAATCGAGCACGGGCAACACCGGGCCATGCTGCTAGTAATTAAATAAATTTAATTTACAAACACTAGCAATGTTTTAAAAAGCTTCTGTAAATGTGTTTCTGCTGTCAAAAGTTTCTAAAAAGCAAGTCAAAAAGATAATGAAATGTATTATTTAAAATTAAAATACACAAATTATGAAACAAATAAGGGAGATCTATTTTTTTTTTTTTTTGTTTTTTTTTTACCTAAAAAAGAACCGAAGACAACATGAGAAGTGGGTGAAAGTGTAATAGTGCTGAAAATATTTTTAGCATTCCCTGATCCCCTTAAAAAAACCCAAAAAAACAACAACAACAGCAAAAAATAAAAAAAAAAAACCTGTCTACTTGTCTTTGTGTTGAAAGTTGAAGTTTGTTGTCTGCAGCAAAAGGTGGTTTAATGGATTGCATCTAGGAATAAGAAATCAGAGAGCAATCAAATTCCAATCAGGTTTGTTAAATTCACTTACATGCAAATACCCTTGGGAAAAGTATATATCCATCTCTTCCCTCAACTATGGGTTAAAAAGTATATATCTGGAAATATCAATATCTCTGAAAAATTAATGCAATATTCACTCACAAAAAAAATTCTTTTTACAATCCAAAATGTTTTGATTTAAAATAACCTAACAAAGGGTTGATAAGCCATAAAATAAACAAATAGCTCAATTCACTGCAACAGGTCTGAAATAGTGTCCCTTCCCTAAACCTATGTGCACTTTCAATATTTTTTCCTGTAATTTTGACAGAATTGTCAATCAAGAAGAAAAACTCATGCCAGATTATTTTTTGTCTGGAAATATTCAAAATTTTCTATAAAGATTTGGTTAAGCTAAAAAAAATACTTTTTCACAAAAATGTATTTTTCAGATGGATTTTGTTCTGGTCTTTCTGAAATTGTTCTTTATTTTTCGTAGGAACTTTATTCATTTTTGAGAATATGAATGTTTTAAAATAGAAGTGGGCTACATGGCTGTAAAGTGGGAGCTCAATTTATAATGTACACAGAATGTGAAACTGAACCCTGAATTTAAGTTTTTTCTGTTTACAATGTAAACATCATAATAAAGTGAACTTGGACTTTGTGTTCCGATGGAGTTTTTGATTATTTCCTGGCATAAGAATTCATTCAACAGTTGAGATGGAGTACATTATTTGGAACCACTGAATGACGTTTAAAAGATCAAAGGGCTTTTGCATTGTCTTTATGGAACAGGTTGATAATATGAAAGGAGTTAAGATAGCAAAATTCACAACCTGTAGAATCTATGGTAAGAAATTTACAAACTTATTTTTTTTAATAGAAAACAATGTGCCATGTAAAAAAAAAAAAAAAAAATCTTGCAATGATAGACATGTATAAAGATGAACAAAAATCCTGACACATAATCTGGTCCAGTTTCGGTAATATTAATATTAGCTGTTTCCTTATAAGGAAACATTCAACAGCCAATGGTACTAGTTACATTTTTCTTCGCTCCTAGGCCATTGTGCTGGCATCAAAATATAATATTTGTTCTCATCTCTAATGGTAATATTAGCTGTTTCCTTAAATGAAACATTTGTCATTGAATGACCCAACAGCCAGAAATACTTTCTTTTAAATTTTATAAAATCTTTCTATTAAAACAATTTTTCAGGAAAATAGCTTTCACTGTTATTTTAAGAAATAGATTAAAATGTCAGATTAATAAATGAAAAATCTATTCCTAAAAATTGTCTTTGTTTACATTCAGATGCAAAAGTGAGTAGAGATGTATATTTCAAGAAGCAGGAAAAGCCTGTGTTCAAAAGCACTATTTGGGA